CCCATGCACTAAACCCCTCATCAAATAACACGTGTTACTACTGCTAAAGTTTAGATGAATGGATGTTTGTGAAACTGTTGAACGGATCTCGATGAAATTTAGGATAGATATAGAGAATAGTCTGGAAGAACACAAAGGCTACCTTTTTTTTTAATTCCACACGGACGGGGTCGCTGGTACAAGCTAGTCTATACTGATATTATAAAGAGGAAAAATTTGTATTTTTGTATTTATTGAAATGACTCAAAAACGACTGGGGCGATTTTAAAAATTCATTTACCGTAAAAAGGGTAATTTGTCTGTAAGTAACATAGGCTATTTTCACGCAGACGAAGTCGCGGGCGAAAGCTTGTAGTCTATAAAGTATTATTAGCTTTAACTTATGATCCGGTCCTCATCTGGTTAAGGATGTTTGGACGTGATCGTGTGTGACGTCACGCGAACGCCTTTACGATGCAATAAGCGACCTCGTAAATACAACGGACTAGCTCTTTAATCGTCATTACGTTGTTGATATTGGCTGTTTTGTTTGTTTATCTTATTTACTGCAAATCCTAATATATCTAAAGGAATTTGTCTTATTAAAATTAACAATATTTTAGTGTTATTTACCTTAAATGTTTGATAATAGGTCAACTATTCAAAATTAAAGCGAGAGTAAAAAAAATATGGCAGAGATATGTAAAAAGGTTTAATTAAATTTGAAATACAACGTCAAAATAGGACTTAAAATTACTCAAAATACCTTATTGTATTAGAATACAAAAGCTAGATGTAAACGTTTTTCTTTCTTCCAGCCCGTATCGGAGGAACCTTTCCGTTTCGCAATGGAATTAGACAATTTACCGAAGGAGACTCTCAAGAAATACATTTTCGAGGAAACTTTGCTGTTCAAGGTACAGAACGAGGGCGCATAAACCAAACTAAATTATACGTCCATTTCCATTTAGCAACTAGTCGTGCGACTTGCGTTGTCGTTTTTGTAATACATCGCCAGTGCAAATATAACACGTGTCGCGCGACTAACCGCTAAGTGGAAATTGGTTTAAGACCTGTCCATAGACACTGTGACGTCACGGACACGCGTTTCAACTAATTTTATTTTTCAGTCTTTAGTCTATAGGTTCCGTGTACATTAATTGAACGACTTTTTTAATCTACATTTTGCAAACTGTTTGATTTTTGTATTTTACATTATCTGTGACTAGATATTTTATCAAATGTTACGATATCTTATCTGTCGCATGTGATTAATAGATTACTACGAAGTTTTTGTTTTTCAAATAATTTTAAGGATAATAAATAAAATATGAATGAGACAGAATACTTAATTTGAAATAGAGATACCCTTTAAAACATTTAATGAATACGAAATTTTGAACACAATAATTGTTATTAGCGTTAATTTGTATGAATTTGAGAAATAATTATTATAAAATGGTTATAAATAAACCGAATTGAGTAACGAACTACCAAAGTTTACGGTTACTTAGAGATTACCACCATTTAAATTGTTTTTTTCTCTTATGAATGTTGTTTTTAATAATAAAATTATAAAAATAAATCTCTTAACAGTTTACGTACATATGAATTATGTAATAAATTGTATTAGATTTATATTAAAAGGTAGATAACTTAGATAGATAGTTTTTCTGAAATTTATCAACGTTGAAAATAACTAGTCGTGCGGTTTCTAAATTGAATTTTATAAGGTTTGAAGCGTTACTAGGAAAGTTAGCAGTGTCTCTACAAGGCTTTATAAAATCGAACGTAATGCCACTCATATTGTAATTAGATAATTAAATTAAACGACTCTGAGTACAGCATTTTTTCAACTACGAATAAAGATCGATAATCGAACTTTTTGATCTCATTTTTTTTAATGGCAGATAATGAAATCCTTACGATAAATTAAAACATTTTTGTTTTCATTTAAGTTATTTCGCAGTTAAAATAAATGGGTTTCAGTAACAAAATCAATATTGTTTCATGTTTTGAAACGATACATTTAAACAAATATCGCTTTGAAAAAACATTCAATGATAAAAGCTTTGTATGCATGGAAAGGAACTGCATTGGATACACACATTTTAAGTGTTTTTAGTATGTTTAGTCGAATCGTTTTTTTTATATTTGATTTTAAAATTATAAGCAAATGGAGACACTGTTTTGTAGGAATGTATTTTACAGTATTACATGAATGCGAATTTCGTGTCAGGTATTATATTGTCAGTGGATTGTGTTGGCGGGAAAGATCGGTTTTTAAGGTTAGGCCGTTCTTATGGATGTAAATATTTTTACATTTTAATGTAATTTTGAAGTGTCACGGAATTATTACTTGCACTACCAGATTATTAATTCCATTGTACTTGCGAGTTGTATTTTTCATTCGATTGTAAAGTTTTAAGGTAGGGGACGGTTCATTCGTTAAAAAACTTGTTGGTTTGTATGTACTTGAAGGGCCATTAAATAAGTGGTTTGTTACTTTGGTCTAAAATGTTATAAATACTCAGTTTTAGAAGTTGCTGGCCCTATCCTATGTTATCTGTTTTAACAATAATTCCTCGTCTTCCTTATATCAGCATGTTTGCGCACAATACTGTTAGAATAGTTGACTTTTCATATCAGATAGTTCGTTGAATGTTTGATAATTCGTATGACAGTTGTGCGTTTAGAAGTATGTCGGTACAAGTTTTTCAACGAACGGCCGCCGCCATTTTGACGGTGGCTTGTGATACGCGAGTCTTCTCACGGTTTGTAATCTAATATCTTAATATTTACGCGAATTATTGTATGGAATCGATTTTATGGATTTTATCGATTCAACAATCCCTACGTTTCAAGACTAAATGATTATTGGAAAAATTCGGACAGAACTGCGAAAATTCAACTTAAATTTATCTTAAACAAAAGGTTTTTGAATCGAAATGTTTAACAAAACTTCCACTGTTTAACCCTTTCTAAAAACTATCGTCATTTTGCCAGAGCATTACTTTACGAAATGGAAAAATGTGTTGACTAAATATTTAATTTCTTGTCAGTAATTGTAGGGATTAAGAGTAAAAATATGTCATAAAATCCGTAAAATAAATTGTATTCAATTGAAGTCTGTTGTTGGTCTCTGTATATCTAAATCGTTGTTAGTTCGGACCGCGGCGCTAACACTTAGAAAGGAACGCCCGTGGTTTAATTCTTACTAAGACTTGATTACCGTTGTCTGTTGAAATTATTTAGGGAGCATTTTAGAATATAAAATTTCATGCGAATTTTAATACTTACGTCGTTGAGAATGTGAGATTTTCGAGCTCTATGTACATTGTCTTAGAGATGTTCTTAAGATCTCGTTTTTAAGACGTAATGTTGCATTGTGAAATGTTTATCTTCATCAGTTTTAAAATTTAAGGCCGTCACCACTGAAGTTAAGCTTTGTTACACATTTTAACGGCTAGATATACTTTTTAATTTTAGAATAGCTGGTACTATTGATGGTTTATTTGATTTTTTGATGCAGTGTTGCTAGCTCGGTGGTGGCGGCCGTTTAGAAAATATTTGGCATTCTTGTCATTAAAGTGTTCGTGATTTTAATACATTTCATTCTTACAATAAGTGTAATAAGCTTTTTCCGATCGAACTGTTTGCAATTACTCGTTACGAATACATCGATATTATTTAAATATTTCGCAGTTGACGTTTCAAGCGCTTTCTATTTCTTACATTATAAGTTATCTTCGAACTGATTCATGACCATTTATTTATTTAATGGCAAAAGACAATGTTATGATGAATAAAGCATAATAGTAGTGTTTTTACTTTACGTGGCAAGACGCTTTCTTATATTTGTAGTTTTTGACAGATGTCAATTTTGACGAATAGATTTTTTTAGTCTGTTAAATAAAGTAATTAATATTTTAAATTGATAACTTCATTTATATGTAATTTGCTGCTTGCTCTATTTGGTAAACAATATTTTTCGATTACAATAAAAGTGACACCAGAATATCATCAAGTATTTATTGTTAAAATATGAGTGTTGCCATATTTTCTTAAGTAATTATGTACAAATTGGATATTGTAAGATCATTTGTTATCTGTCAACAGTTGAATATTATGAAAATAAAAATGAAATCAAGAAACATGTATTTTGTTTTATTTTAAAATACCTGTCGTATTCATCATACATATTGCAAGTATAAAAGGTAAATAAAAGACGAATCTCTTTGCTGATTTTACTGTAATTATTAGTTTTTTTTTATATAATAAATGGGGGCAAACGAGCGGCGTGAACACCAAGGTGGTTAACGACGCCCATGGACATCCGCAACACCAGAACTACAGATGCGTTGTCGGCCTTTGAGGAATGATAGGCTCGCTTCTTGAAGGACCCTAAGTCGTATTGGTTTGGAAATACCGCCGAGGACAGACCGTTCCACAACGCGGCTATGCGGGGCAGAAAGTTCCGCGAAGTTAAAAGGGACAGACTACATAACATACTCAATTCCGTATATCCGTAATGCGCGGTTTACACTTGACCAGTACAGTTTGTCATTACCGTGCGTCACTGGACTGTCAATCAACTGGTACGGTGTGGACGCTAACTGGCGCTAGTGAGTACATACAATCTATGACTGTCTGTCGCAATTGTCCAACAGTAATGACCAAGTGTGAACCGGACACTACATCGTTGTCGTTCACGACACAGCTTATCTGACAATCAAACTATGACAAACAATTATGAACCAATATTAATTACCACGTTTAACTCAGTAATGGTAACACTATGGCCCCGACACCATTATATAGAGAGAAATCATTTTTAACCTTAATATTGCTATTAAATTTAATAGTCATTTTGGTTAAAACTACAAAAATGTTTAAGAGGATTACTCTAGAATCTAGAAGTATCGTTCCTACAAATTATATTGATAAGAGAAAATATAATAAGAGCTTTTTATGATTCAATATTTCGGCTTCTGATGCGTATGGGATCAACTTTGTGAGTGAAACATACCAAACGAAAATAAACATAACAACGTTTATTTAATGACGATGTTATAAAACTAACGGACATTTTTCTTCATAAACAACGTCTACGTCTTTTAAAGCAGTCTATTACTTTTACTTTATGTTAGTTTTACGAGCTCCATTAGAATGTAATGGATATACCAACCTTTTATATCACTTTGTTGCGACAAGCTTCGTAAATATTAAGTTATTTGCATTATAAACCAATAGTACAAAATGGATTCTATAATTTGGATTGAAATTTTTAGTACAACACCCTTATAAAAATTATTCAGTCATCTCTTTCCTTCTTGTTCAATAAATAGAGACAACATCATGTTCTTGTAAGGCTATTTGACAATGAAGATTTGTAAATGCACTAACTAGACTTCACTAAAGGGACGAGCTAGTCATTAGGAACTGCAAAGAAATGAAGACAAGGTACTTTGGAAACTTGAGTAATTTGTCTCCTTTTGTCTTTGTAACTCAATTTGTTATTTTCAAGGAATGCTTGAATGATTTATGCAAGTATATTTTAATAAGGTGAACGTTAAATGTCGCATTAAAAGTATGCAATTTTTCAGGCGTGAAGTGGAAGCATTTCCGCGTTTCGTCTGTTGTCGGAGGTCCAATTTTAGTCCCCTTGTGTCCCACCTTTTTCTTTAAGAAAAGGATGGATGGAAAAGTAGATTTGACAGTGGAGGAGATGCATAGGATGGGGAAATATCCCGTTTATGGGCGTCTCTACCTTCGTCGATTTAGGGAAGAAGTCGCATCTGCAATTGCCGATGTCTATGGGTAGCGGTCGCTTCGCCATTTTGGCGGATTTAGATAGTCGCTTGCTCGTTTGCCACCTTTTTGTATAAAAAAAAAAGATAAAATCACTTAATAGCTCAGTTTAAAAACTATTGAATATTGAGAGAAATAGAAAATTCCGTCAAGTTGTGAAGCATAGCACGCTATACCTACTGGCAGGTTTCTCGAGTTCCACTTGACACGCCGACGCAGTAATGGCCGCTGAGGTTAAAAGCAAAAAAAAATCAAGAGGTCATTGACATCAGCAGACATCGGTACTCGTATTAAAGTTAAATTAATGACCAACAAGCACAAATTAAATAAAATAATTGTAAAACATTTATGACATACTACCTTTCGCCCGCGACCCCATCCACGTGGTATTAAAAAAACGAAACCAAGTAGTCTATGTGTTTTTCCAGACTATCCTCTACATGTATGCCAAATTCCATTTAGATCGGTTCAGCAGTTTAGGCTATAAACTCTAACAAACATCCATTCATCCAT